TACGTCTACACACACACACACACACACACAAACACACACACACAGAGACACACACACACCCACACAGGTTTGTGGGGACTCTCCATAGGCGTAATGGTTTTTCTACTGTACAGACCGTATTTTCTATCGCCCTACCAACCCTACACCTAACCCTACCCCTCACAAGAAACTTTGTGCATTTTTAGATTTTCAAAAAAACTCATTCTGAATGATTTATACGCCTTTTGAATTACGGGGACACTGAAAATGTCCTCATAAATCACCTTCTTGTTGTAATACCTATGTCATACCCATGTTATTATACAAATGTCCTCATACACCACATAAGCATGGACACACACACACACACACACACACACACATAGAGAGAGTGAGAGAGATGCAGACGGAACTGGAAACTGAATGTTCCTGGTTTTTCTGGAACAATTATTATGTGTAAATTCAGTAGCTTATACAAAATTCAGCAAACAATAACAATATAGCCAAATTGATTAAATTAAGCTTTTTGCGAATAGCTAGGCCTATTACTTTTACTACAGTCAGGAAGTGGTATTTACAGTATGAAGAAAAGATACTTGTCAGAAGGCAGTGAAGTGGGTAAATGATATTGATAAATGTGCAAGATACAAGATACCTGCATTCAAACCCAACACACTCACTATGAGAAAACACTGCCCCCTACTGGCTAAAATCGTATATCAAGGATATGCATAGTTGAAGGGTACACATAATGTAATAGGAAAATGATATACATGGCTTGTTGGGTTGCTACAGTACAGTCTCAAAGTCCATACATGGAGAACTGGCATCAGAATCAGACAGACTGAAGTCTGTGCTCATGCAGAACATCCTGGTAGGAGTTTAGATCGTTGAGGAGATAATCTCAGGCGAAAAAGGCCGAAATGAGCACAGAAGCAGCAGCATGAGAACAGATCCATTGACTCAGCTCAAAGCCTTTATCTCTAAACTCCAACACGCTCACAGAAAACTGATGAAACCACTGAGATGAACGGCTAAACATCTTCATCTAAACAAGCCCAGCTGCTGAGTTAATTCTATCTGACATTTAACAAGAAACACTCACATGAACAAAGGAAATAGTTTTGATATGTTGGTTGCCTTTTTAAGCAACCAAAAATAAAATAAATAATCTATTATGGTCTCTTTGTTATTTGTTGTTGTTCATTCATGGCCTTGAAACGAAATTTTACTAAAGTTCGATAGAAGCGTGTTTAAATCCTGTCAATCACAACACAATGTTGTTACCTCACTCCTATGACAAATTTCTGGGCATTTGTTCTATTTACTTCTACAATGTATTTAAGATTGACACATAGAGTGATGTTGTTTAGGTAATCTCAGTTGTACTGATATTATAAATCCAGGAGAGGCATTTCTACACACACACAGGTTTGTTTTTATGGTTTATGGGGACTCTCCATAGGCGTAATGGTTTTTCTACTGTACAGACCGTATTTTCTATCGCCCTACCAACCCTACACCTAACCCTACCCCTCACAAGAAACTTTGTGCATTTTTAGATTTTCAAAAAAACTCATTCTGATTGATTTATACGCCTTTTGAATTACGGGGACACTGAAAATGTCCTCATAAATCACCTTCTTGTTGTAATACCTATGTCATACCCATGTTATTATACAAATGTCCTCATACACCACATAAGCATGGACACACACACACACACACACACACACACATAGAGAGAGTGAGAGAGATGCAGACGGAACTGGAAACTGAATGTTCCTGGTTTTTCTGGAACAATTATTATGTGTAAATTCAGTAGCTTATACAAAATTCAGCAAACAATAACAATATAGCCAAATTGATTAAATTAAGCTTTTTGCGAATAGCTAGGCCTATTACTTTTACTACAGTCAGGAAGTGGTATTTACAGTATGAAGAAAAGATACTTGTCAGAAGGCAGTGAAGTGGGTAAATGATATTGATAAATGTGCAAGATACAAGATACCTGCATTCAAACCCAACACACTCACTATGAGAAAACACTGCCCCCTACTGGCTAAAATCGTATATCAAGGATATGCATAGTTGAAGGGTACACATAATGTAATAGGAAAATGATATACATGGCTTGTTGGGTTGCTACAGTACAGTCTCAAAGTCCATACATGGAGAACTGGCATCAGAATCAGACAGACTGAAGTCTGTGCTCATGCAGAACATCCTGGTAGGAGTTTAGATCGTTGAGGAGATAATCTCAGGCGAAAAAGGCCGAAATGAGCACAGAAGCAGCAGCATGAGAACAGATCCATTGACTCAGCTCAAAGCCTTTATCTCTAAACTCCAACACGCTCACAGAAAACTGATGAAACCACTGAGATGAACGGCTAAACATCTTCATCTAAACAAGCCCAGCTGCTGAGTTAATTCTATCTGACATTTAACAAGAAACACTCACATGAACAAAGGAAATAGTTTTGATATGTTGGTTGCCTTTTTAAGCAACCAAAAATAAAATAAATAATCTATTATGGTCTCTTTGTTATTTGTTGTTGTTCATTCATGGCCTTGAAACGAAATTTTACTAAAGTTCGATAGAAGCGTGTTTAAATCCTGTCAATCACAACACAATGTTGTTACCTCACTCCTATGACAAATTTCTGGGCATTTGTTCTATTTACTTCTACAATGTATTTAAGATTGACACATAGAGTGATGTTGTTTAGGTAATCTCAGTTGTACTGATATTATAAATCCAGGAGAGGCATTTCTGAATAAATCAGTGTTTCTGTACGAATCGGTTTAGTAAATGATTCATTCCTAAAAACAGTCCCTTTGAACGAACCAGTAGAATTAATTTTTCAATGACTAGCTCATAAGGACAAGTTGGGCTGATTATGCATTATGCATACCGACCTAATGAAAAACTGTGTGAAAATTAACAGAATTCATAAAACAGTAGGCAACCTCCAGCTAGATGTGATTTCGGACACAGCCTTTCTTTTCATTGCTGAATGAAGCAGTGTTTTTGAATGAATTGTTTGAGTGAGCGAATGATTAAATGGCATAAAGACTGTTAAATTGTTTGAATGAATGTTTCAGTTGCACACCCATAAAACCAGTCACTTGATTCGTTCCTAAATGCATCAGTGTTTTGAACGAATCGTCTGAATAATGCACACTGTCAGTCTGTCTGGGACACTTAAACGCAGCTTATTTTTCTCCCACAACTGCTTCTGAGTCTGACAGCTAGAGCAGAGTGAAATATATATCCACTTACTATGAAAGTGGATATCACTGACCATTATGTAAATGATGTGTGCCTGAAACCACCCTGTCTGAATGATGTAATAATTTTAAACTTGTTTTCATATTGTTATTGGGAAGTTCGTAGAACTGTGACAAACCACATGGAGTAAATTTGTAACGTTTCCGAAGTTTTTCCCACAGTATTTTTTCAATTAGTGCACTGTGAGTTGTTTTGGAAGAAAAGCATATGCTAAATGGTAACTACCAAAAGCACCCTTAACAGCCCCCAAACATCAAGACCAACATAAAACCCATGAGTAAATGTGAGAGGCGTTAATAGGTTTTGGCTACAGCAGTGTGTGAAAACCTTTAGAAAGAGAAAGTGTTATGAAGGGAGCACAAAACAGAAAATAACACTAAAGGAAGCACACAAGAACACGTCATAGAAAATGCCAGCAGAAACCACCCTAAATTCAAATTCAACCACCTTTTCTCCTGTAGCCAGTGTAGACACATGGACAGGAGGACACAAAGTGTCCAGAAACATAAACCCTATATACTGTATATATAAGAATCTTAAATATGAAAAATATCTCCAATAGCGTTGGTTTTATTAGAGGAGAAATGTAACAATGTCACCCATTCATTCTTCATACATTCGGTTTTGTTTCCAAGAATGTTGTCTAAAACAAAACAAGATTGTCATTCATGAGCCGTGTTTTAACATGTGCAATTAGTCCACATAAAACAAATGAAAAACACTGAAAAACAGTTAAAAACATTCATTCACTCACTCACTTCACACAAACATGCTCATATCAAGCCAGATGTTCCAACCCTCAAAAAGACAGGCACAGGCGCTTCAGCGGTGGGGAGACTACTTTCTGTGTTTTCCAGGCATTTGGTAAGGTTCGTCTCATGCACAGCAGACAAAAACACTTTCACAGCATGTGTGTCTTCCAATAAAGAGGGAGATGTTCCAGTCTCTTACTCCTCCCTCATGGGAACGTCTTCTAGAGGTACTATTGCCTCCAAAGAGCCAGTGCTGTAATGCTGCAATGTTGTTATGGAGATAACGGTGTGTAGTAAGAAGAGAACAAGCACACACAGTTTAAATTTACTGCCATGAAGACGATTTGTACATGACACCGCTCCTGATGATATCCTCCTATGCAACGAGAAGGAGCCAGGGAGGCGTGTCAGAGCACATGCGGCGCCTACAGTGGAGTCACACCCACTCCATCTGACATCACAGCAGTCTGGACCCTGACTGGTCAAATACTCCTCGTGAAACCCTGATGAGAATGAGAGAAACACTGTGTTAGAACAGGACAAAACACTGTACCGAGAGCGTCGACACATTTTAGTGAATCGAAAACAAACATTTCTGCCTGAACATTTACGAATCAGTTGGAGCAGTTTCTTGATTAATCCGATTTACTCACTGAACAGCAGGTCATTCATTTCGTCATGTCCAACACTAATTTAGTATTATTTATATACTATTATAGTATTTATACATACAGTGCCCTCCATAAGTATTGGGACAGTAATGACAAAATTGCTTTGTTTGCTGTGTAGTCAAGACATCTGCAAATATGATTAAAAGATGAATATGAGACAAAACTACAGAACGTCGCAATTTTATTATTAGCGGTTTCAACACGTACATGTTTTACCAAATAAAAAGGACAGCACTTTTAGAGTTCATCCCACTATCTGATGTGAGCATAAGTATTGGGACAGTTGAACTTAAGACAGATGTAAAAGATTAAAAACTATTATTTAGTTGCAGATCCCTTGCTTGCTATGACAGCAGTGAGTCTGCGACCCATAGACATCACCAGACTCTTGGTCTTGTCCTTTGAAATGCTTTTCCCAGCCTTTAATGCAGCCAATTCCAACTGTTGCTTGTTTGGGGGAGTTTCTGCCTTTAGTCTCCTCTTCAGACTGTGAAATTTACGTTCAATCGGATTTAAATCTGGAGATTGATTTGGCCAATCTAAGACTTTGCATTTCTGTGCCCTGATAAACTCCTTCACTGAACTGGCAGGGTGTTTTGGGTCATTGTCCTGATGCAATATGAAATGCTTTCTGATGACTCTGGTGGCATTTTTTTGAATATCGGTAGCCAAGATGGTTTTGTACCCTTCCAAATTCATTCTGCTATCATACATTATGTCATCATTAAAACTGAGAGGGCCTGTTCCAGAGACAGCCATGCATGCCCATGCCATGACACCACCTCCACCATGCTTTACAGATGAGGTTGTACGCTTAGGATCCTTTGCAGTTCCTTTTTTCTCTCCACACTTTTGCTTTCCCATCACTTAGACAAAGGTTAATCTTTGTCTCATCTGTCCATAAAACTCAGTTCTAAAACTCTACTAACCTTTGTGCTTTTTGCAAACTCTAATCTTGCCTTTCTATTTTTGGTGCTGGTCAGAGATTTGCATCTTGCTGTGTAGCCTCTGTAATTCTGTGTCAAAGTCTACTGCATACAGTAATTTGTCAGAGCATCACCCCAGCTTTCTGGAGGTTGTTGGTGATTTTACAGACATGTATTTTAGGGTTCATTTTCACAGCTTTCATCAACTGCTGTTGTTTTTCTCAGCCGATCAGGTCGTTGTTGGTTGCGGGTGGGGTGACTCTTGATTTCTCCATGCCCTTTGTTTTTGCTATAGCTCTAATTGACTTCCTCCTTTCTTTTAGCATCCAAATTGCTTGCTTTTCTCTCAAAGTCAGCTCCAGGTTTGTGTGTGTCGTCATCGAATGCAAGACTGCAGAAGCACTGCAGAATGCAGAAGCAACGGATATAACTGATATGACACATTCCCTGCTTTTAATATCTGAACAATTAATGCAACAGGA